ACTACTTTTCAAAAATACTCAATGATGAACTGTCATTTGAATCATATGCAGAGGCTCGGACTGTCGAAAGACAGTGTGTGTCGCCTCTGTTTGGAAAATGATGAAACAGCAGAGAACATACTTTGTGCCTGCCCCGCTGGGTACCAAATCAGGTGTTTACAGTTCGGCAGAGCCGTACTCTTACCATCTGACCTCAAAGACCATTTAACATACAAACTAATCAGCTTCTTTAAGAAGATGAGTTTATTTGGTCGAGTGTGAATAGGTTTGAGTCACACTAAACCCTTGCGGGTTGCGGTGGAGGGTCGAATAGACCTACTCGCTTTGGAACTAACCTAACCTAACACCTTTCACAAAATTCTGCAGCAATCATCTGTCGACAAAAAAATTTGTCACAACCAGCACTTCTACTCTGGTTCAACTTAAGATCGTCATATTTACATTTGAAGAAATTGTGTTGTATCTGAAGTAATATATGAAATATGTATATCGAGTTTCATTTAGATGATCATTAAGAAAAAAGTGAAATAAAACTTTTTTTTAACCACTTGTATTTGTAACTAACGCTACTACAGTTTCGTCCTACAAGGACATTTTCAAACGAATACAATAAACTCTTTGAAAATGTCCTTGTAGCAGTAACGTTACGTAACGTAACGGAACTGCATTAACGTTAGTTACAAATACAAATGATATACCCGTAAAAACATTTTCACCAGTACATCAGTTTCAATTCTCATTTTTCACTCATAATTTTTATCTAACACCCCATGCATATGGTCGTGCACTTCAACGCACTGAAAATTGTGTGATAAGACAGTTATTGAAATACATTGTTTCTAATGAGTCAACACACACGAGCGTCTAGCTTGTAGAATGAAAAGCATTTTGAACAAAGTAAGTCCGAGTTTCTCTACAATGCTCGCCATGTAAACGTGTGGTGAACCGCTGAAATATATCAGCAACAATGATAAGGTATACACAAACGTTGATTACGATGCGCTGCTCTGTCTATTGTAGCCATTCGTTGCTCTCTCAAGTAGTTATTTTGTTATGTTACGCATTTCGTGAATCAGGGAGTGAATTCATTTAGATTGATCTAATTAGTGAGGTAGAGAAATGTTTTTTATGACACCTCAAACAATAAAAAGCTCATTCCCTGTATCACATCTTGTCTGAGGAAAGTACCCACTACCAGCGATTATCCGTTCTATTTTTCCGTAAATACTTTGAAACAAGATGAGCAAAATCGCAACATCTGCGTCATTCATCGACTGCTTTTTGTCTACTGCATTCTAAACGTATCTAAGTGTATCTGATAGGACATGATAATTGTTTCAACGCAGACAGTCAAAAACAAAGCTAAAAATTCACTTACAGGTTATTATACCCACAGATCAAACAACCAGAAATCAAGAAATTTGTAACTCTAATATATTCTGGTAAAAGAACAGAAACAATTGCTGTTTTTTTTCAGAAAAAACAATATGGGAGTGGCATTCAGAACACATGCCAAGTTATCTAATTTCCTTTTTAATGCCCAAGATAAAGTTGACAAGATGGAAAAATCTCAAGTTTATAAACTTAAGTGTCCAGAGTGTAATTGTCTTTATGTGGGACAATGTGGCTATCAGTGGTGCCATCAGTACCACACCGTCAGCGGCCATAGAGATCCTTCTAGATCTACCTCCTCTCTACATTTTTCTGGAGAGAGAGGCTAGATGGACTGCATACAGACTTGTGCACATTGCCAATTGCACAAATCCATTCAATGCAGAGTGCAACAGACTGTTGGTTGACATTGGAAGTCACATCATTCTGGAAATGACCTCTGACTTTATGCCTCCAACTGTCAACTACGAACTGCCTTATAAAGTACTATTCCCGAGTAGAGAGGACTGGATCCTCCGGTAAAAGGAAATATTAAGAGCAGATAGTTGTTGGTTCACAGATGGATCAAAAACACCTTTCGGTTCTGGTGCAGGTGTTTTTTGTTGCAGACCCAGGACAGAGTTATCTACCTGCCTAGGAACTCATGCGACTGTATTTCAAGCGGAAATTTATGCTATTGAATTGTGTGTGGAGAGATTGGATAAATCCAACCTCACTCACACGTCAATGGAAATATTCTCGGACAGTGTGAGCCACAATAAACACTTGTGGGTTGCGGTGGAGGGTCAAATAGACCCACTCACTTTAGACCTACCTACCTACCTACCATCTAGATTTGAATCCAATTGGGCTACTGTCAAAAACAACGTGTCCCAAAAGAATGTAACTTTCAAGTTGGAAGATGTGAGGAAACTGGCGGAGCACGAGTTTGATGAAATCACTTCCGAGAAATGGCAAAAGCGTTGCCGACATGTAGTAGATATAGAGCGGAAATATTGGGAAAATGAAACATTCACAGATGTTCAAACAGAGATGAATCCAGTGATTATAAATTTAAATGACGATAGCAGCACAAATATAGGCAGCAGTGAAGATGTAGAAAATTTGTATTCAGATAGTGACTGATTAAAGTTTCTTTCTGAATAAGTTTATCATTATATACCATTTCAATGAACTGTACTACTACCTATAATACTAAATAAAATATGAAAAGAAATTACAAAGGAGTCATGTTCCATTTGCTACCCTAATTAAAACTAATCATATGTACGGCACTGACCGGCAAGGGTCAGTGCCGTACATATGTTGAGAGAGTCTATATCTGCGCGATCTCTCGCCATCAGCTATGGCGTGTACTGTAGTTGTTTCGAAAGTACTTTTTCTCTCTTTTTAAAAGTAATTGCTTTCTTCCTTCTTTTGGAAGTGTCCACCATGTTGCATAAAGTAGAAACCTTTCTCAAAATCATTCTCTCTTGAAAATATACCCCTTTCAATTTAACATAAACCGAGTTTTCACAATATGAAATCCTTAGAACGCCTAACTGATGAATCAATTGAGAGAACCTGCGATGACTAGTCGATGGGCTGCGATTAGCTGTAGATGCGAATGGTCCGAAGTGTCAAAGCTTCAATCACGTGAAAATACTTTGGCGGAACAAACAGAGAAAAGTGCTCCCCGATATTGACGCTACAAAGCAACGGTAAATACTTCACGCGAACAGGAAACTGAAAAATACCCCGAAAGCATTCAGGTCAACACAGACTTTTTTTTGTCTAGCAGCCAGAACAAACGACTTCTATCTACGTTTGCCTTATTTCACAAACTAGAACAAACTACGACTTGTGTGCTGTGGTATTACCACGAACTGTGTAAACTTTTGAGGTTTTCGAAGCAAGCAAGTGGACGTATTACAGGGTTTTAAAACGTTTGAGACTGAAATAGCGTGAACTTCTCAATATCAACTACTGGTGTTTTTTCATGAAACTAGGAATTTATCCACTAAGTTGATAAAATAACTATCTGATTTTTCAGAATATGGGATACGGTCAAGAAGAACATCTTGAAAACAATCTTCCTGAGGTCTTTACGTTCTAATATTTCAGCAGGAACAACTGTTTAATTTACGCCACGATTATTGATGTGGAGGGCAATTCAGGAAGTTGAACGATCATCGGAAAAATTCTTTTTATTCCGATGTGTCCCTATACTTAATACATAGTTTTAAGTAATAAATGCTCATTATAAATGCAAAACTCTAAGAGAGCTCAAACAAAATTTTGTGATATTGTTAGAATTTGCCACCGCTGTTGTGGGCGAGTTTATACTACTTCACCAAATCCACCCTATTTTTTCATCGCAAACGGGTCACAAACAAAATATTTTATGAACTTTCATTTAGTATATCGTGTAGAAACCCTGTGAATGATATCTGATTCAGTTCCATAACGAATATTTGAAATACAAACTAAGTAGAGGAAAGTGTTTTTTTGTATAATAGAGTGTTCATATAGAAGTATTTGTTTTGAAAGGATTCTTCTTTCGTGTAATTCAATGTTTATATGAAAGTAGCTGTTTCAGGAGAAGTTTTTCTTCCAGTCCGTGTGAAAGTTACTTCTTTGCATGATCTACACATATATGTATAGAGTTACTTCTTTTAAAATTGATTGCTTCCTCCCTTTCTTCGAAAGATTTCCACATTTTTTGTATCAAGATGTAGTAGTAAAAATCCAAAACTTTCTTTCCCAAAAATCAATCACTTCTAAAATTATAACTCTTTCAATTTAAAAAAGTATACTTCATTCCTCTCGGTTTGTTTCGTTTTCCATTTGAATCTGATCTTTCAGTCATACGATATACGACGTGCCTAAGCGTGTTTTTGCTAATTTTTCTGGTTGATGATCAGCCGTTGTAGTGCTTTCTGGCTTGTGATAGTGCGTTGTGTTGTGGTGAGCAGGCTTCAACGTTCTCTGTGAGTACGTTTTAAATATATCATTTCCCAAACGTTTATTTGCTCAGATCTTGTTTCTGGTGTTTCAAAGTTAGTTTTGTCACGGCAGTATGGAGGAACTGCTATGCATCCTGGCTGGAAAGGAAAAGGGCGAGATTATTGGTTTTATAAGCCAACTAATCTCTGCCCTGGGCCTCACCCAGTCGGACTTGCTGGGCAAAGCATTGCTAAGTCTTGGGGACGGCTGTCACACGCTGACAGCTCGTAGTCAGGGAGTGGCTAATGCTCCTCCTACCCTTGAATGCATGTCCGATCGCGATTACAATTTCAGTGATAGCGACAGCGTAACTTTCTTCACTTCCTCTGTAACCAAGAAGAGGCGCTTTAATGATGGCTTTCCACCACTGCCCGACGTATCCAAGCGTCGCATCGACGAGTGGATTAAAAAATACAATGAAAAAGTGAAGTCAGCTAAAAATACTAAGCCTTAAAAGCTTAAGAAAATGGCGGCATTAGCAATTGTCAGAGACGAGGCTCGGAAGTACTACTCTGAGTCCTGAGACTCCTCTCATCCAGTGGCCCAAAATCGGGTTAATGAGGTGGCCGCACCTAACGGCAATAACAATCACGTCGAAATGGACACAAATACAAAGACGTCCAATGACAGTGCCTCCGAAAAATCCGAAGGCACTGTCAGATCAGTTCCCGATGAGGAGCCCACCCCACCACAAAGCCAAGGGCTTCAACCTCACCAGCGTCACGCGCATGAAGCGCGCTGACAAACCGATGCCTCTGATCCTTGTTTTGTTGAACAGGGACCAGAAGCACATATTTGAGGTCAAAGACCTTTTGAGTGTGAAGGTTCAGGTCGAACCTCAATACCCAAAAACTCTGGTGGGTCAGTGCCACCGTTGACAACGTTTCGGCAACTGCAGAGCGTAACTGCTTGGCAGTACCCATTTGTGTTAAATGCGCTGATAGGCATTCAATGAATACCTGCAAAAAGGCCAGGAATGACCCCCCGAAATGTAACAATTGTAAAGGGGTCGGCACAGCTAATTACCGTGACTGCCCAGCGTGCCCCAAGGTACAGCGCAAAGGGCAGTCATCTTCCAAAAAACCAGCCTCAACAGGGAGACCTGCGGGGTCTAGACGCGTCCAGGAGGGCGTCAGCTTTGCCAGAGCTGCATCCAAGGGTGCCAGCAGTACAGCAAAGCCCACCTCCCCTCGACCTGAACCCTCACATGAATCGCTTGAGGAGCTCTATCAACGAACCCTTTTCCCAGGAGATAAAATTACGGCAAGCAGGATGGCCAATCAAGTTAAGCAGGTCATCATTTATCACCGAAACGAAGGGTAGAAAGATCTTTTGGAAGTCTTCAAACCTGGGGATGACTAGCTTTGACGAGTCACCCGCAGGCTCAGGATGAAGAAGACTGCTCTCTCACCCATTCACGGAGAGCGCGGAGCGGAGTGTGCTACTCCCCCGCCGACAAAGCGTTAGCTTTTTCCGACACGATGGAATGTCAGTTTCAACTTAACGTTGACGACGATGACGACATCGACCACGATATGCTGTTGGAAGACCGGGTTCACCATATTCTCAGGGAAGATAACGATGATAACATCCGTCCAGCTTCTGTGGAAGAACTGAAGGGTTACAACAGGGCCGCGAAGGCCAAGAAAGCTCCGGAGGTCCACTCAATAACGAACAAGCTATTGAAGAGGCTCCCAGACAATCGCGTTGAGAACCTTCTGAACATCATAAACAGTTCGTTGGCCCTCAGACACTTCCCCAGAAGGTGGAAGTATGCGATCGTCGTCATGATCCCAAAACAGGATCAGAACCCGCTGTTTCCACAGAACTATCGCCCAATCAGTCAACTCCCGTCGGCGGCTAAGCTGGCTGAAAGAGTTGTACTCCAAAGGCTCAACGAAGAAGCTGAGGACCGAAATGTTCTGCCTGATGAACAATTTGGCTTCAGGAGAGAACACACCAGTGAGTTACAGGCTCTAAGGCTGGTCGAAAACACCATCCACGAGTTGAACACCAACAAAAAAGTGCACATTGTTCTGTTAGACATCTCGAAGGCCTTCAACCGTGTATGGCACGAAGGCCTTCTGCACAAGTTAATCGCGTTCGACCTGCCTCAGGGCCTGATCCGGTGGAATGGATCTTTCCTGAAAGACAAAACATTCGAGGTTAGAGTAGAGGGCTCTCTGTCTGACAACAGAGAAATCCTCGCTGGAGTGTCTCCATTCTGGAGAGATTACAAAACAAGTCAATGAGGATGATTGTGAATGCTTCTTGGTTCGTGCGGAATGAAGCTATCCGCAGATATTTGCAGCTGCCTTCCATTCGGCAATCCATTCAATCGAGGAATCGGCGAGTTTTTGATAGCGCGGAAACTCACGAAAATCCGTTAATTAGGGAAGCCATAGATTATGCTGTAGACGACCCTTTCCGATATAGAAGGCCCCGACACTCTGTCGAATGAGGCCCTCATGTCCCCCGTTAACGGACGAATAGATTTTTCATCCATCCCGGCCCAGCCAGGTAGAGGTACCCCGTGAAGGGCGGTACTGATGTTTGAGGACTTCATACCGCCAACATCCCCTCAGTCATGAACCATTTGTCCTTCTTCGACAAAAATCAGCTAAAAGGGTAAGGGAGCTGGGCTCCAGTCTGATTGAAATGAAGACGCTTGGTCGGTTGATCTTTCAGTTATTCAAAGAGTGTGAATTTTCGAAGATAAATGTTTAATCTTCCCCCATACTAGTATCAATAATTACAACATTGGATATATACATTCTTAAGTCAAAACTCTTGGTTTTAATGGGTTGGAAAATATTGCCTGTTTCATGAACAGTGCAATCCAATAGTAGTATTTCTAGTAAAAGATGCTAAATTGGAAGCGTTCTCTCTGTCTGTTTTCGTTAACCAACTATCGCTCCCAAAGAACGGTAACTCTCAAAAGTCGAAACTTGTGCGAGCTGAGGACTAACGAGGTCTGACCGTTCAACATGTGATTCCTAACACGCCGAAGATATTGAGGGATAGTAGTCAGAAGATCCATCTGATAAGATAATAAACACAGTCTACTTCAAAAATCAGATTTAAAGATTTTTCTCTCAATTCATGGGTTATGCTCATCAAGACGTCTAGGATATCATTTAGAAGGATCACATAAAGACCTCAATATAATTACTGAGAAACATAAATCCTCAGTAACCTTCAATCCTTTCTGGGATTGGTCTCCCCTCATACCACGAAGAACAGGCCCATTGAATTTGTCACAATGCTTGGATTTCTTCACAAGAGATGGAACTGTGGATGGAGATGAAAAACCAATGCTTTCGAGGTGCAAGGAAAGAAGAAAATGCAGAAAGTCCCTATCAATATATAAGTTTCCACGTATTTTCGTAAGTCGTTCAAGAAGATTCTCTTCAACGAAAAGATTCAGAGGCAAATTAAATGTTGCCATTGACTTTTCTTCAGAAGGATTATTTATGAGCAATTTTGCAGCAGACAATGTGGCTCCTTACAGTTATAATATATTTATACACTTTCGAATCACAGTGGGACGACTCACAGCGGTCATTACACAACATACAGTGGCATGTGGCATGGATACAACGATTCACATATGCAACCAATTTCACCAAAATCGTTTGTGAGTGAGGAGACATATGTGTCATTTCATGAACAGGGTGGAACGGAGTCGCAGATTTGAGGTTATATTTTCTTCATAAAATAAATTAAGTGAATTGATTTGTATTTCATAGTTCTACTGAAGTTTATTTTGAAAACTGTAAATGAGGTATTTTCCGAGTTTTATGGCAGTGGTCTATAGATTTTTATATCTGACGTTTCGTCTACGACTGCGATAGACAATGTAGAAAGTATTGAGTTAACTTGTTCTGACAACTCAGACTCAGTATTTTCAGAGTTTGTCTCTTGCCTCATGGCTTTTGATACTGTTCACCGCAATCGTAGACGAAAGGTCAGCCATAAAAATCTGCAGACCACAACCAACAAACACAAAAATACCTTTCACACTTTCAAGTGTTGATGGCATTTTATTTTTCCAACTCCCATTGATAATTCAATTTCATTTTGGGAGACAGTAATTTTTTTTTTTTGTTTCCAAATATGAATTCTTGTTTTTACTGCTCTCAGACTCTGAAACTTCAGCACTCTTCTTGAGGCGTATTCGACCAACTAAGCTGACATCATCAAGATATGATCAGAATTGTTTATATCCATAAACTGATGGATGTAGTCGTAGAGAAACATAGGAAGTTTTAATTCTCATTTTTCATTGTTTGTATCCTCTCCTGGTGACGGAAAGTTGATTGGTGAAATACACGTCAAAAAGAGATTTGCAGTTCTAGGTTTTGGAAAAAGTGTTTGTATTGAATTTCTGATAGTTTTGGTCTCTGTCCACTCATCTTTTTTCGACTTCTTCAGGTAATAGAAACTCATCAAGAAAAACATTGCAAACCTAATTTTTAAAAGTTTCGTATATAATTTTGGAATACAACTTACACCTAAATCAAAATCAGAATCATATTTTTCAGGAGAGCAGTATCACTACGGAAATTCATCTCATAAAATAATTGACGCACATCATTTAACACTTTGCAAGTGGAACTCCATTACGTGAAAACTTATTTAACTTATTCTGGAGTTCAGATCGTTTAGTGAAGTTTGAGCATCGAATTTTCCGACCCTAAGCTTCAGTACTTGTATATTTTCTAAGCCCATATTCATAGTTGAGGAAAAGTTTTCCTTGTTTCCCACCTCTCTGTAAAAGAAGTACAAAGAAAGAAAAGTGATTTCGGAACTTCAAGATGTATGAACAATGTAAACTCGGTTGGAAAATGAAATAAAATCCCTGTGTTCTTTCTCAAATTCAAGTTTAAATGAAATTTCTGTGCATTGAGAAGTTTCGAGTTGACATTTCATTGTCCCTTCAGCAATTAAGGAAACTCATAAGTATCTATATCATATTCAAATTCAAAATATTATTTATTCTAATACGTAATTTCTTATCTTCATTTGCATTTTTGTACTATGAAATGTTTTTTATTAAATATTCATTGAGTGTAAAAATTGAACAATCTTTGATTGAGAAATCAAAAAGCAGAAAGCTGTCATCCTTAACTGAGTATGTTCAGGACACATTATTCTCATAAAGATCACCCACCTCACGATACGTTGAGTTGTCATTGATGATACTGACGCTCTTTCTGAATGTATCGGGGCTTCGAGAAGAGGGTCCGACCAGATCAACTTTCAGGAAAAAATAATATTGATCAATAATCTCTAGGAACACAAGGTTCATCGACAAGTTGAAATAAAAAATAGATAACATTCATAAAAATTACACAAACACTAACGAATGCTGAGTCGACAGTAGTGAATAGGAACATTATTATACATTATCATGGAAGAATGAAATCGATAGTGATAAATTTATAGTACCTGTGTTCCTTGATTTCAAGAGGGCATTTCAAACTATCGATAGGCAAATATTATTTCGTAAACTGAGATATTATGGAATCGATGGAATAGCCTTAAGTTGGTTCAAATATTATCTCAATGGCAGGTCACAAATAACTAGAGTGGGGAAATGTTTCTCAAATGAAATTTCAAATAATATAGGCGTACCTCAACGGAGTGTCCTGTGACAACTGCTGTTTATAATTTACCTGAATGATGTAAACTATATACAAGGTTATGGTTTCTTGAATTGATTTGCAGATGACACTATACTTGTCTGCTATGGACATGACGCTGTAGAAACAGCATGGTTCCAAAAATATCAATATACAGAAGCATTATACAGCCCCATTTTGATTATTGTTCCAATCTGCTTCATCTTTTAGATAAAA